GTGGGGCGGGGGGGGGGGGCAGGGGTTCTTACAGACCCCATGGGAGCCCCTGCTGCCGTGTCCAAGTGCCCCGGGATGCCAGGATTCCGGGGGGACCCCGCGGAGTGGCCTCGTGTCCGCGGCGGCGCCGGGTCCCTCCCGCAGGCTCAGCCTCTTCTATTTAAGGAAAGTTTTCTCATCGGACCCGGACGGAGGCAACTTGGGCTGTGGAGGAGCCTCCCCTGTCCCGGGATGGTGCCGGGGGGTTTAAACCCCCAATCAACCCCCCCACAACGAGCAGGTTCCTGCCTCAGTTGCCCCTCACTGAGGAGAGGCTGGGCAGGTACTTCTTGATTTGGGGCAGAAACCCACTGGTTCATCACCGACACAGCCAGGAGCCCAGCAGGTCCCAGGGACGATACTAATTAAGCAGCTTGCAATTACAGGGAGGTCCAGAATCCCCATCCCGGGCACAGAAGCATCTCGGGGGGGGCGGGGGCAGCACCCACCTCCCCACAGCTTTTCCCAGCCATCCCATAGCACAGCCCCAGCTCCCCCAGTGCAGGGCTGCTTGAACCCACATCCAGCATAGCCAGGCACTAATTAACCACTGCTAATGAGCACTGGCTGCCTCAGCACACACCCCGGGCCCCCCCCACGGCCCAGCTCTGCCGTGTGTGGGACGGACAGATGGACACACCGGGTCCCACTCACCTGAGCCCCGCGGCGGTGCCGGGGCTGGAGCTTTGCTGGCAGCTGATGGAAAAGGGAGGTTAGAGCCCGGCAGGGCAGGGTCCGGCCCTGGGGACCCCCTGCTCCCCGAGGAGACCAGTTCCAGCACTGGAAGGGGCTCCCAGTGCCCCCCACAAGGCACGGGGACACCGGGGAAAGAGCGCTGGGGGTGGGAGGGGACCCTCAGTGTCCCCCCGAAAAGGCAATGACACCACAGAGGTGACAGGGGAACAGAAGGGACCACCCAGTCCTTCCTAAAAGGGAAGATGACCCCCCCGGGGAACACAGGGAACAAGCCGGGAAGCAACAGAGCCCACCGCACCG